TGCTAAAAATTCGTCCAAAATAAATAACTCATATACCAATTGAAAGATGAAACCTTAATCTATGTACTCCTGAAAAGAAAATTGGAATATCTTTCCTCGTTTTGTCAGCAACGTCCTTCAAAGCTAACCCTGCGCAGGTCGGTGCACTGCACAGATGTCGGTGGCATACGATTATTTAAAGAGTCAGTGCAGCACACGGATGTCAGTGCGGAAGGGTTAAATACAACTCACCCTATATTGTAGGACCATTAAATGATTGTCTTTGGTCTTGGAATGCCAGCGAAATAGGAGGAATTGTTTCAGAAGAATTGTTATCAGCTTGAAACTAGCAGTGGATGAATAAAATTTTACAAAGAAATGTGTCCACTAACCAGAGAGAGACAAACTCATGTCAGAGGTCACATGAATTTACTCATATGAGCTTAAAGCAAGGAATCAAACATATTCATAATTTGTGTCTTAACATATGATAAGAGACAGTTTTCTGTTTTTGATGATTGAGGTTGAGAAATGTCGGTGTTCAGCAAGGGGACTTTACCATTTCAAACCAAAGCAAAGCAAAGAAGGGCATTAGTATGAAAAATTGTCAGGTAACTGCTGAGTTTATTGCCAGTCTGTAAGGTAGCATGTGCATGAGTTGGTTCAGTTTTAACTTTGTGCATTTTAGGCACACAGAAAATAGTTGGTGGGACTTTGGCTTATAAAGGCAGGCTGAGAATAAGCAGGTGGTTGTGACTCCAAGAATGTACCCGAGTATAAGAAAAATCATAATTTCTCAGTTCAGATAGTGCTGTAGAAGTTGAGAATTTTGAATTTTTCTGCATTATTTTCATGTATCCATATTAACCACTCCTCTCAAAAAAATAAATACACTCAACTCTCGATTATCCGGGATAATGGTGGGGATGGAAATCACGATTAATCAAAAACCCGGTTAAGACAAATTTATTAAAAGTAGTACTGTAATTCTGTACCTTCATAATACTATAGGCTTACCTGTATTTAAATTTATTCAACCTCATTTTTATGTCATCTCATGGCCTATTTAATACTTTTTTTTACATTACACATGAGTATGAATTAGTTATTTCAATCACAGTGTTCAACAACATCCAACACTTAACACTCAAAAAAATTTAATATTGTCGTTTGCTTGATCGTGGCATTTTCCTTTTTCTGTTGAATACTTAACACAATACACTTACTTTTACACCCTGACATTTTGCTAACGCACTTGAAGATCGATATTAAGAGACTAACTGGGGTGGTGTATCTGTCCTTGAAACTTTCCACAAATCCTTGCATTCTTTCACCCCTACCCTAGAACATTGTGTTAGCACAATGGGATAAAAAAATGCAGAGCTCAGTTCACACTAGTGCGAAAATAGTGTTACAACTCACCATGTGAAACAAAAGTGAATGAATATTAAACAACATATGAGCCTCAAAAAAGCCCCGGTTAAGCCGCAAACTGGTTTATCCACCCCCGGATAATCGAGAGTTGAGTGTATATTCATACCTTCATTAGTGCTTTTAAACCTTAATGCCATATTATGATATATATAATCAGAAGTTTGTAGATGGACATAAGATTATGCATATCAAACATTTTAGGCTGTTTCAGGTAGCTACTAGGACAATCATTTTCACAAATTTTGTAAATTCTTGTTATACCAAGGTTGCAAAGCATCACTTTTTAAGCAGACAGTTGTCAGAAATTTTCACAACCATCCATTCCCAAAGTGAAAGTTGATGTGAGGACAGATTATTTTTATTTGATGTATTTTCCCCATTTGACAGAGTACAGAACTGATGAGCCTATCTGCTGCTGTGAGCCACTTCCTGAACTGTTTTCTGTCATCATACCCAGTGCCTCATCCACATCAAGTTGCTGATGAGGTAATACCATTAACTGTTTTATATGTCGCACAATAGTCAGTCTGGAAAAATCATGAACACCTATAAATTCCATGCCTGTGACTAAAATTGTTCTTCGTGGTAAATTCAACCGGTTGATATAGAAATTTGTTTTCTGTGTATGTACCTTGAAATTGGAATTTACACTAGGAGAATAATATGGAAGTTAAGAATATACCAGTATTTTTATTTGCTCATTTGTGTTGCTCACATCAAAGTGTAGCTGTGGAGACAAAATTAATTTGTATAAATCTACAAATTTACAGGCAATAAATATAAATTAGAACAGTTGTCAGATTGAAAAGTAATAGTAGTCGGGCTACAACTAATAATGTATAATTTTTCTCCATATGTTGAAAGTATTTTATTTTTGTGATCTCAGCTTAACACAGACTTGCACTTATCCATGTCTCTCTTATGTGTTATTTTGTTATGAATTAAAACAGGAATCATAATTGTGCTTTTTCAAGTACTACATTACTTGTTATAGCTTCAAAGTAAAACATCAAAGCGCCGTAGCAAACGTAAGGGCCGGACAAATCCTCTCTTGAAGGATGCTGACAGTATGGAATGGGCAAACCTTACTCCCAAATCACTTTGGACTCAAATAAAGGTAGAACTGAAGAGCTATTATGACTGGGATCTTCAAGCTGATTGTCTTGAATCCATGGTTGAACAGTTTTCTCTGCAGAAGATTTCTTTGCTCAGGTACATGTGCAATTCTCTGTATTATGCTAAAATATGGAAAGTTCTTCTAGTTCATTACATAACATGAGCACATGAATGTTTTCCTAAACTTCAGATTATAAGTTAATTGTTGGTTAGTTTGTTGGAAGTCTCTTACAGTATTGTAATGGGGTAGGGACAAGGCAGGTGTTTATAAATTTGATTGATGCTGTGATAACATTTATCAGTTTATAATGATGTGAAATAATCTCATTATATGGTTTGTACCAATATTCTTACTTTAGAAAGCAATATCTGTATACTTTTGCATGTCCTGAAAGTTCTGTTTTGTAATTTATTGTTGTACTATATAGATTCTTACATACATCATGATCTGTTAGTAGATTTTTTTAATGGTCTGTCATTAATGTGTTTCAATGGGAAGTGTAATGAGAACAAAGTGTTGAGAAGCACACATAGGAGGAAATAATAAAACAGAATGAGAAAAGTACATAATGAGGTTCATAATTTGAACTGTTAACCTATAGTATTGTTAGGGCAGTTACAGCAACCAGAATGTGATGTGATGCAGGATACATGGGGGAGATGAGAAATGTATACAAAGTGTTGGTTTGAAAACCTGAAGGGATGAGGCCACTTGGAAGACTTACATTTATGGGAGAATAAAGTTGAAATGGGTTTCAGAAGGTGGGAGGCTGTGAACTGGATTCACCTGAATCCAAAGGTGAGCTTTTATGAATATAAATAATGACCCTTCAGGTTCTGAAAGAGTAAGGATTTTTTTCACAGCTGAAACCCATCAAGTTTCATGAAAAACGATTTACTTGGTTGACATATTTGTGAGTGTGAGATGACTTATTTTTGTGCCTCTTTCATATAGATCATTTTGCATCAAGACTGGAGTTCAGATTCTGCTAAGAGAATACTCATTTGACTCCAAAAACAGACTCACATTCTTTGAGGAAGACATAATCAATATCTTCCCTGTGGTGAAGCATATCAATCCTAGGGTATGTATAAATTATTCATGCATGGATCATGCATTTTTCTGGTGTAACTGTGTGATAACATTTTATAACAAGCTTCTTTAAGTGTGAAATGTAGGTTTGAAATGTTACTGTAGGAGTGTTAGTAATAATTTATGACTAATCTTGTTACCTCATTTTGGAAAAGGATCTGACCTCATTAAGTAGTCTTTTAATTATATTGTAATTCATTAACCCGTTGCCGTGGTTCGTCGTGTCTGTTTCGTCAGGGATTGTTAACACATGTTTTTATTTGTAAATTGTATACCTCTCAATACCGACCACTACAGTTAGAGCATATTGTGATCTTGAAGTAAATAACTGTAAAGCTATCCCTGTAACAGGCCATGAAGGCCCATAGGGTTGTGAGACGTTGAGGGTCCCACACTATCTAGACAATCGGCTCAAAGATGGTGGTAAGGTTGTGAGCCTTATGCGCCGGCCTAGCTTTACTCCCCAGGAAAATTATTTAATTAATTCCTGGTACTCATTTCTCTTAGAGGCTTAGTAAACCCCAGGGCCTAGTGAAGCTGGATTCATCAATTAATTGTTGTGTAGTTGGTTATAAAAATAATGCATTATGATACTGAATTTTCAGTTTTTGATTGACTGGTTGGGTGCTTGCTATGTTTTTCTCTTTCAAGGGATGGCCTTTTATGAAAATATTTTGATAAATTATTTCAAAGGGAAATAAATGCCAAAGCTTGAAATTATAGAAATCTCCCGTTAAAATAACAAAAGAAAGCATTCACTGAACAGAGAATGAATACAATACAGCCTTGTGCTTGTCAGTCAAATAATGAATGGATTTTTCCAAAGTCAGCTGCTATTTTAACAGTACAGTATTTGAATGAAGAAAGTGTTCTCATATCCAGAAAACTGACCTGTTTATGTAAATAAATCATCTGTTGTAATGGTAATTTGTATGTAATAAATTTTATGTCAGGAGACATTATGATGCCTAAAGTTTATATTAGATATCCAGAGAGACCCAAAGCACCTTTTTCAGGAAGCTTGGCATACGTATCTAGTATAATATAATGAGGTTCTTAGCAGTTTTCTGGCTGTATTCTCATTATATGGGGGCATGTGGTAGTGTTGTTGGTGGAGGCACTATGCTGCAAGCTGGAAAGTCGCGGGTTTGAGTCCTGATGAGGTGGATTTTTTTCAATTGACTTGATCCTTCCAGCCGCAATATGGCCCTGGGGTCGACTCAGCCTCTAACAGAAATGAGTACCAGGAATCTTCCTAGGAGGTAAAGGGTAGCCGGCGTCTAAGGCTGACAACCTTACCACCATCTCTGAGCCGATTGTCTAGATAATGTGGAACCCTCAACGTCTCACAACCCTATGGCTCTTCATGGTCTGTTACAGGGATAGCTTTACATTTTATTCTCATTATGGTCATCTATGCCCCAACTGTGTTTCATGGAAGCTTTAGATGTATGTGCAACTAGTGCCATTACCTTTCCTCCTGTGTTGTAATTAGCATTGTTGTTCTGCAGGCAACTGATGCTTACAACTTCTACACCACTGGGCAGAACAAGATTCAGCAGGGGTATCTAAAGGAGGGCTATGAACTGATTAGTGAGGCTCTCAACTTATTGAACAATGTGTATGGTGCAATGCATCCAGAGATTGCACAGTGCCTGAGAATGTTAGCACGGTTGAACTACATCATGGGTGAGCATGCCGAGGCAATGGCATATCAGCAGAAAGCTGTTCTAATGTCTGAACGAGTGAATGGAATTGACCATCCTTATACCATCACTGAATATGTAAGTAATGATTAGTTTCTGGTGAATTTGTTTTTCCTCTGTTAAAACCATGCAAAACTTGGGTTTTTATGGTCTGGTTCGCTGGCTGTTGTGACTGAAGTTTACAATCTTGTCAGATGAATGCATGGACAGTACCTCAAAATAAGCCACAGCCGCATCTTTTCATATTCTAACTTCCTTATGATTCATGATCATCTTCCCATTTAATATAATACTATGCTGTATAATATTACTGTACAACCATCAACACAACAAATTTATAATAAATAAATTAATATTACTGTAATAATATTTGTTTATTATGTACATTTGCTACATGTTTTGATCCAGCTGGATCATCATTGGACAATATTCATGAAATATACTACTAGTATTGAATTGTATTTCTAATGTGGATCCATATTGGTCATCATAATGTAACGTGTTTTGCTACTGAAGACGCTGTTCAGATTGTTAATTGGTTTATTTAACAACCTACAAGTCGTAACTACAAATACTTATAACACAGTTGCGGGTTTACACAATTTATACACCCTACACAATAATCTGTTCACTCTGTCTTCAGTGGTCTTCACTTATTCACATTACAATATGGGAGCTATACCAGTGTCACTGTATTACACACTCCCAATAACTTCTCACACTATCGCCTCTAATCACACGTTCCGGTATTCTTCACGTTCACGATTCACTTGCTATAACTGAACTCAGTGACTGCTACAATTCAGCAGACTCCTTAGGCAGTGCAGTTTTCTTATAAACCCTCAGCCAGACAACGGAAAACGTGCCTCGCTTCCCTGTTGCGTAATCGCCGTGTTTACAGATGTTGCTGGGCAACGCTGTCGAGAGTTGTTTATTGCTGCGAAGCAACCAGTGTGCTTCGGCTCTACTCGCCTCTACTTGGCACAGCATGGAGAAACACTGCTTTCCTTACTGTTGTGTAACCTGCAACCGACCGTTTATCAAGGGTCTGTCTTCGTGTGACTCGTTGCACCTCCCATTGCCCAGCAACGGTTAGACATGTCACACTGCTCCCTTCTTAAGGCAGTTCGTCCCGAATAGCCTAATAGTGCATCACCAGTCTTTTCCTTCGAGGCTATACTTGCAATGTCTTCTTCTTGTCCGGCTCGGTGTTCCTTTTCTGGTACTCATTGTCTCAAACCGCATTGAGCGGATGTCTTCTCACCAGGCTCTCGCCTCTTTCAGCAGGAGTTCCATCATCTGCTGCATCTCCATTTTGTGCCAGTATAATAGCCGAGGCATTCATAAGTTCAATTATTCTTCGATGCTTGTTCAAGTTCGTAAACCAATTCTGACACCAAATTGTCAAATTGGGTATATGTCACGTGACAATAAATATAAATTTTCTTATGATTTTTTTGTTCCATTACATTTGAATGTTAGTCTTAAAATGTAAAACATAACTCAGTTTGAAATTAAATGTTAAAATTGAATAAAAACTTTTGATGGTCTGTGATGTTATATCTCAGAATAGAAGTGTTTTATGGGAATCTGCATTGTTTTTTAATTATTATGTGCACGTGAAAACAGATTATAGATGTTCTAATATGGTTCATTTGAGTGATGTATAGTCATGTGGTGTGGTATGGTAAATGGTTACTAAATATATTATGTGGCAATTTTCCACATATAAGTGGTGTATGTTCTATTTTCTTTCTTTTTTATGCCACGAGTGATGGTGGTGGAGTTATTCTGTAATGGAAGTAGACATTTTAATGCTTTTTTTTGTGTATTATTTGTTATTTCCTGTAATTTTGATTTCTTTAACTTACTTGTTTTATATAGGGTACCACAACTTCTTGCTATTAGATAGCTGTTGTTCCCCTTCTGTGGTTCTGTTTGTACTGACTACTGTATAATGCCATAGTGGTATGTTTCATTAAGTCATGTGATGTTCATGGGAGGGGGTGGTTATGTTTTGATAGGGGCACTGGTTCGGGTATATTTGGAGGTGTGTTTTATTTATTATTGCGATGGGTATATTTCCATTATTAGGTCAAATATGGGGTTATGTGTATCTGCAAAAGTATCATTCATTTGTAATCTTTGTTTACTTAAATTACATGTGTGGCATCGTTCCAGCGTATTTAGTGATTGGCCTTTCTTTTCATTGTGTAGTGTTTCCAACGTCTGATCAACTGTGCTGTATGTGTATCCTGTGTCGCATGCATGTTTGAGGGTATTTTGAGTTTTGTTTGTTTTCATGGCTTGGATATATAATGCTGCTTAAACAGTGTTGCTATATAGCCAAAGAATCAATCTTTCTTAGGCTTATAGTTTTCAGTCTTTCAGAAGAACATCAATTTTCTACAAAGATTGTAATTATATTTTACTCAATTAACCCTTATCATCTAGGAATAGGAGATGTGAAATCTCCCAGTACTGTGGGACTGGTGACCATACATGAACTGAGGAGCAATGATATCAGTGTTTGGAAAATTCAGTGCTTAGCCAGCTGGACTGTGTACATGCACCATTGCAGTAATGCAGTGTATAGATGATAGAATTTAATGACTGCTGTAAATTATTGGGAACAAATTGTATAACATACGCATTGTTTCATGTTTGCAGACACATCTAGCACTGTATTGCTTTGCCAACAATCAAGTTAGTACAGCTCTCAAGCTGTTATATCGAGCACGGTACCTTGCACTTATGGTCTGTGGAGAGAATCATCCAGAAATAGCATTGCTTGATGTAAGTTTGTGTATTTATGCGCTTTTCCAAGTGCTACCCTGTAAGATGATCCAAATATATTGGAACTACAGTACACTGCCTGTTATACCGTTTCCAATATTCCAGGCATTTTGAATTCTCATTAGCAGCTCTGCCCATCGTTGCCCTTCACACAAGGGTCATTACAATCAGAGTGATGCATGAATACAGTAAGGGCTAGCTGAATTTATGGTTGTGTTATACTTATCCAAAATCTTTCCCCATCAGTCTACTTTGTCACCTAAGAACAAAAGAAAAATGTTGATTTGACTTCAGAACAGAAAGTGAAAGCATTAAAATACTGGAAGATGGTGAAAATTATGTGAACATTGGGTTCTGTGGAAGTCCTCATGCAACCAGCTGATTCATGTAACCAGCACATCCTATTTTTTGTACATGCCAGCTTCTTTTGACGAGTTATAAGTCATTTTATTTTATTTTTTTGAATACCTGTATAAAATTAATTCAGGTATTTAAAAAATATTTCTCAAAATTGCTGTATGCTTTATACAGGTGATCGATGTCTGTTTTCCTTTTGTTTGTGTTATTTTACTGCCTTCAAAGTAGCTTATTTCATGTGAATAGGAGGATGTTACATAATTGACAGTGGGTTTAAACTCCTTTTTCTTTCATAGAAATCTTATCTTCCTCCTCTTCCATCTTTTTTCTTTCATACTTACAGAGCAACATCAGTTTGATTCTTCATGCAGTTGGAGAGTATGAACTTTCCTTACGTTTCCTAGAAAAGGCACTAGCATTGAATATTTGCTACTATGGTGCTAAATCTTTGAAGGTGGCTGTTAGTTTTCACCTTGTGGCAAGGACGCAGAGCTGCATGGGTGACTTCCGTTCAGCTCTCAATAATGAGAAGGAGACGTATGCTATTTACAAGCAACAGGTAAAGCATGTATATAGTCCCTTATTTGGAATGAAGTATAGTAAATCATATGGCTGTGCCATTAGATCATATAGTTAGACATGTGCCTTCTGACCATGAAGGTCTGAATTTAACTCTCTTAAAGGCTGTGTGAAATTTACGGTCGACAGATTTGTAGTGGAGCAATAAAAATATTGTTAAAAATAGTGGCTTATATGTAATCCATAATGATAGAATAATGATTTGTCAAAATTAGTAGGGCAGGATGAGTGTTCTTCAGAATATAGTACATATTCAATGTAAGAAGATAATTATGTAAGATAAAACAAAGATAAATGTATCCGTGGGGCCATAGAGGTCCATAGGGTTGCGAGACATCGAGGCTTCCACATTTTATAGACGGTTGGCTCACAGATGGTGGTGAGGTTGTCAGCCTTACACACTGGCTGCCCTTTACCCCTAGGAAGATTCCTCATACTCATTTCTCTTAGAGGCTGAGTCAACCCCAGGGCCATAGATGCTGCTGGAAGGATTAGGTCAATTGAAAAATCCAGTGACCTCATCAGGAATTGTACCCATGACCTTCCGGCTTGTAGCTACTGCCCCAGCCAACTACTCTACAGCGTGTTCCCCAAGATACTTATATGTCCATATGTTATTAATTTTGTTGATGTCTGTAAATATAACAGTGACAACTTTCATTAGATGTTAAATATTTGTTAAAGAGTTTATTTTATGCCAGATAGTTATAATAGCTTCAATGTGACAGCTTGTGAAGATTACTAAGAGTGTTAATCAGGTCATGTCAGTGGTGTAACACTTGCCTAAGTAGGCTAAGAAATCACAAAGTCAGTGAAAATTTAGTGTACGACCAAGAATCAGATGCCAGTCTTTAATGTTATTGAGTGGTGAGTGGTAATGAACTGACAAAAGCATGATTAATTTCCTAAACTGACAAGACTGCCTAGGTGGTCTAATGGTAACATTCATCCCATTCAACCTGAGGTTCACAGGTTTAAACCTGGCCAAAGTCAATGGATAAAGAGATATTTAGGCAGGAATGATTCTCATGATGTGTAAGATCAACAGGAGTTTAAGCTAAAATGAGATTAAAGGGTGATCTATTTAGGAATGATATTTGCCAGGGGCAGACTGCAGTATGCAGTAGGATACATATACTTTGATTGTATTTAAATTATACTTGTAAATAGATAATGTTGAAGGGCCGCGCCATAGCTCAAGCGGTTAGTCGCTAGCTTCCCACCGCAGTGGCTTGGATTTGAACCTGGGTCTGGTCAAGTGGGATTTGTGGTGGACAAAGTGGTGCTGGGGCAGGTTTTCTCCAAGTACTTCAGTTTCCCCTGCCAATCTTCATTCCACCAGTTGCTCCACAATCACCCTCATCTATCATCTGGGGCTGGCACAATAGGCCAGAAGTGGCCGCAGTACAAGGGACTTAGTCCCACCCCACTAGCAATAAAAAAAAGATAATGTTGAACTGAACTCAATTTGGTCAGAATATTATACAATCCATAGACTAGAGTGACTTTTAGACCAGTACTAATGCTTCTTGCTGACCACTTGCCTCTGTCTAGTGCTGAGGTCAAGAATGATGGAGCTATACCTCCACTCCCCCTATGTCTTAATGGCATGTAGTGCACAGGAACAGTTTTATTCCTCCCCCTTTCTTTGTCTTTACAAATATTTCCTTATCCCACGTAACAAAAGATGCTCTGAAGTTAGGAACCTGTCCTTCATACTCTTCCTCATGGGAGTGTGACTGGGGAGGTTCTTACTGATCTCCAAATGGAGAGTTGTCTTCTTACATAAAATTTGTACTTCACCTTGGAGAACACTCATATTAACCTACTAATTGTAAGAAGTCCTTATTCTATGGGTGCATGCGGTAGCGTAGTTGGTCGAGGCACTGTGCTAGAAGCTGGCAGGTAATGGGTTTGGTTCCTGATCAGGTCATCAACCTAATCCTTCCAGCCACACTATGGTCCACACTCAGCCTGTAACAGAATCGAGTACCAGGAATCTTCCTGGGGGTAAAGGTCATCTGTGTGTAAGGCCGACAACCTCACCGTCATCTGTGAGCCGGTTGTCTAGAAAATGTGGGAACCTCAATATCTCACAACCTTATGGGCCTCCATGGCCTCTTACAGGAATAGCTTTACCTCTTTTATACCTTACTGTATCATTCTATCATTTTGGTTTAATTTAATTTTGATATTAAAATGTGAAACTTCTAATAGCTTACCTATGGGGAACATCCCAGAAGATGGGGAAAATTTTAGACAAAGTGTGTTGAGGGATTAAGTATTTTATTAAAAAAATAAAAAGAATGTATGAGATGGGTCTTGTTGAAGTATGTGAATGTTAGATATAACAGATATAAAAATGATTTGAGTCTGTATAGTGTTGTGCCTATAGTTTGATTAGCTTTGTAACAACAAATCTATGTCTGCAGTAAATGACTATGAAGGCCAGTGAAAAATGAAAAGTAGCAGATAGTGCTTTCTTATTTTCTTTTTTAAATTAAGCCAGGATCATATCCAGTATCAACAAAAAATATGTTGTAGTTGAGTGTGGGTAATTTTCATTTCATTTCCAAAGAAAGTAGTCATTTTGACACCTCTGATATTCCAAATCACACAGATTGTAAGAAATAAACATTTATATTTACTCATTATGCAGTTGTTCAGAAGAATTAAAGATGTCACTATTTGAAAATGTAAATTTTTATTCTTGAATTTTGAATCTTGGATTTAAAGCACTCAAGAGATTTTATTGCAGGTAAGTTCCTCACTCTCATACTCAGGTGAACTTAAAATATAGTCTTGCTTATCCCAGAGCTTTCATTTTCACACAGTTTATATCGATCATTCTGTTGGCCAGCTTGGTGAATCTCATGAGAAGACACGTGAGTCATCGGACTGTTTGCGCCATCTAACATCACAAGCTGTAGTCCTGCAGAAGAAAATGAATGAAATATACACTGGGAAATCAAACACGGCTCTGCCTCCTATTCAGATACAACCTCCATCGATGGGGAGTGTCCTTGACATGCTGAATGTGATAAATGGCATTCTTTTTGTTCAGATAAGGTATGGTTCCTCACAGCATAACTGTTCATCTCTACTTGTAGGAGTAAGTGTATGTTCATATTGTCACGTGTTGGGTGTATCACGCGACAAATAATTTCATGCCATCTTGGATCAAGCGAATTTATTCCACTCGCTCTTACAATTACACAGTTCACAATTTCACAACTACTGCCATCTGCAGTATCACAAATACTTCTCCTGCTTCCATTCACTCTGGCGAATGCTAGACTGCAACTGACTGGTTACTCTCTCTCTCTCTCAAGTAAGTGGCTCAATACTCACTACTGAATAGTGTTCGCTGCTCCTTATTTAGGCTCAGCACGGACAACACAGAAAACAGTTACATGATACGTACAACTGTTGCGTAACGTCATGTTTACCAGTTGCCTAGCAACGGTTGTTGCATGGGCTCCCCTGTTGCATGAGTGTGGGAAGTGTTGTTACATCACTGCTGGAGGCGATGGAGTGTTTACCGAGCATTGCATAATAATGGAAGAGGTGGGGGTATGTGACATCACTCGTGAGACTTCAGAGTTCACGTGACCCCTACTTCCGATTGCGCCATCCATGTCACAATATGTTTGCCTTAGAGGTTAAGTTTATGCAGGCTCTAAGAAGTAATGGCTGCTCTGTGTATGCTTATATTATCATCATCGCCATTGTTGTCGGCCATCATCATCAAAATATAACACCACCACCAACAGCAGCAGCAACAGCAAGAACACCAACATTTAGCTTTTGCAGTTTGATATAAAAACTTGAATTGTGTTAGTCTAGTACTGGCTGTAGTCAGTCATCGTCATCATCAAAATATAACACCACCACCACCAACAACAACAACAACAACAGCAGCAGCAAGAACAACAACATTTAGCTTTTGCAGTTTGATATAAAATCTTTGAATTGTGTTAGTCTAGTACTGGCTGTATGTGGTCATTCATTGTCTACATTGGGAAGAATATGGTACAGTCACCTCTGATGAGCAGTGATGTGAATGATACAATTGCCACAGTGCTGGAATTAGCAGAACCCTTGCTTCATAAGGGATATACAATTTTGGTGGACAATTTGTACAGTTCTCTAGAGCCATCTAAATATCTGAGAACCCAGAAGACTGAGTGTGCAGGGAGGAATATGGCATCAAAAGTAAAGGAGCAAAAGCTAAAGAAAGGTGAGCCTACTGTGCAGAATGCTTTAACTGTTTCTGTCATCAGGTGGAGTTATAAGAAGACTGTAGCAATGATGTCTGTCCCACAGTGATCAAGCAAGGTCAGCAGATTCACAAACTGCTTTATGTTGTAGAATACAACAAATCTGTGGGAGGTATTGACAAGAAAGAGCTGTTACGGTCATATCTCATAGAAAGAAAGGAAAGAAAGAAAGAAAGAAAGAAAATGAATGGTTTGTGAAATTTTTCTGTGGAGTGGATATATGAGACAGTGTTGAATGCAGTGACAGTATACAGACAAAATGTAGACAGAAGAGTGGTTTATTTAAAATGTATTAATGCAAGGCTTACTAGTAAAGTATTATCATGATTTTAGTGAATACAGACAGGGTTTGGATTGGTAATTGGGTTTATTGAACTCTTACAACTTATAACTGCAAGTAAGGCTTGTGCTTTCTGTTTTACACACTTCACAAATAACTATAGGACACACTAGGTCTTCTTATTCTATTACAGTCTTCACTAGCCATTGTTTGGTGGATTCCAGTGGTGGATGTTCCCCTTCCTAGGGGTTCCCAAACTGTTCCTGCCCTCAGGTACCAACTTCTCACAACAGCTGAATCTCCATCGTTGTCTGACTGTTCTTTAAGACCCAGCTCAGCTCAACTCATTATACAGGGTGATTCACGAAGTTTTACCCCGGCTTATGGTACATATTCCTGGGGTTATTTCCTGCAAAATTTCCTTATAAACTTTTGGTCGATTTTCAATAGTTACGGAGTAACAATAGATTTTTGAAACCCATCATTGTGAATGCAGCGCTATGCTTCAGCGTGGGCGACCATATGTTCCAGTCAGATATGTCAGCAGATAAAGTAGACCGGTTTGAATGTTGCGCGTAGGTAGATAGGCAGAGCGGTTCATATGTGTGCGACGCACTGTGTTGACATGTAGGGAGACATTTTTGAAAATCTTATGTAAATCCAGTCGTCTTCTAAAGCACTACAGTTTAAAGGAAACAGATTGATAGAAGAGTGATATGCAACCATTGGTATGTTTACAGAATGGGATGCTGAAAATAATGTAATTTTGTAACACAAAATCGATGAAAAATGTTGCACAATGCAAAATTAAAAAAATTGAAAAAAAAAATTGGTTTTAGAATGATTCTTTCCTAAAACATTAACGATTTAAAAAGTGTTTGTATTGTATTTCGAATTTGTTTTGACTGAAATTGCAAGAAAAAAGATTTTTCGCCAGTTTTCAAATTACTGTATCTCTTTAATTATGAGTTGGATACCATTAGTATATTAACATTTTTTGTTCCAAATTACCTCAGGAATGCCCTCCCTAAGTGGGGGTAAAACTTCGTGAATCACCCTGTATAGCCCTGGCACAGACCACATGAAAACATGGTTCCGCTGTTGAAGTGCAGTTCTTGCTTAGTGATGGCATGACATATTCCATTGTTGCATGTGCAGCCATCAGCACAGACTGGGTGGAAAACGCCATTTTTCTGTTGTTGATGTTGTTTTATGGGCTGCTGCCTAGTAATGGCTGGCTGTTGTGACTCCACAGTCTTGTTTTGAGTGAATATGCCACAGTATTCTAAGGAACACAAAGCAACAGAACCTCCATGCTGATGGCAGTGTAGTAGCAAGAATGACAGAGAAACATTTCACCAGGAGAATACCTGCAACAGAAAGGAAATCAGAACCCACAAAATGGTGTTTTATGTGCAACAGACATGGGAAATATAAAAAACAGTGTGTCATTGCTCAAACTGTGAAGTAGCCTGTGTGTGGATGAGCGTGTTTTTGGTGTGTCATGCAAAATATTTCTAAGGTAATGTGATTTGCAATTTTTCCACTTATTTTTCTTATATTAAAACTTTTCTTAACAAAGCTAATACATACATATTTGGTTCATGTTACATAATGCAGACATTCTGTAAATATTCATCAGTACATTATCAGAGTTTAATTAAAATTTGATAAAAGATATGGAATTTGTGGCCATCTAAAAAGCTTCTGATTATGTAGCTACTATTTTCAAAATGTAAATGCCTGGCACAAAGCCATCCCACATCAGCCTCTGGACAAGGTTTAAATGCCACCATGCTGAAAGGTTAATACACCATAAAAACATTCTGAGAATATTTGAATAAAAACTGAAAGTTTTTTTTTTTTTTTTTTTTTTTTAATCNATGACATGTACACTCTACCAAAATTGTTATTTGTTTCTTTTCGTAATTTTTCAGCCAACAAGACATTGAGAATTTCAAAGCAGAAATAGAAAGAAGGCAGTTGAAGGATGCATCTCCAGCCTTGTCAGAAGAAAAGACTGATAGTGAGTTAGCTGCCATTAGTGAAACAAAGCAACTCACTGAGCAGTCCAGTTGAATATTTGAAGATTTGGTGTGCTAGTACATGACAGTGTTTGCATGGAATTGTAGGGGTCCAATAGGCTGTCAAATATCTGGAGTGTGTTGTTGAATGAAATGTGCATGTGCGGGCATGTGTGCGTGTTTGTGTGTATATAAGAACATGCATACAAGAACTAAAAGTATCACTACAAGCAACTTGCATTTTTAAGAGGTTTTATTTTATAGGCTGCCTCAATTTTTGCTGTGGGTTTTCTGACAGTCAGAATAGACTGTGTTTGTTAGATTATGTAAAACAACATAGTGTATTATTATTATAATAATACAATGTCTCAGTTTTTTTGAGCCTTTTATATTTTTTTGGGACTTTATAGATTTTGTTAGCCACTCTTCTTTTCAATGGTGCATGCCTAAATGCCTGGACCAAACTAGGCGTATATGAGTAACTTTTTATTCTGGCTGCTGTGTAAAAATTTATGTGATAAATTATATGAAACTGGGAAAAACAGGGGCAGTCAAGCTGATTGAGACCCTTTACTGCTGATTGAGATGCCTCAAAAATGCATTGAGCATAGAAATGTTATAGTATTTGAAAGAGTAACAAAAATTATGGCATTATATATCTTCATATATGTGGCAAAATTGTGTTTATTTGCCATGTCATTAAGTGCAAATCATACTCTTGTGTGATATGATACTTTTCACATCAAGGTGTTTATAGGAGTTGCTGTTACATTGGAAATTGCTAGAAAAAATGATAGTTTATCTATGACAATGGGCAAAGTAATTGAAAAATACAGTATTTGTTAGTTTGAATATAAAATTTCTATCTGAAACCCAGCATTGTTATGTGTGAATGAATTATTATTAGGTATATTTGTTGCATTCATCATAACACTCATCACACTTGATGAAGAAATAAAAAGGTTTTTATTCCTTTTCCCTTGTTGTTGCTTTGGTTAAGATAACTTTCCATAATTCTCTTAGGGCAGTTTTCTTTGTTGGCTTTGAGAAACTATTAAATGATGGGTTTTCATTTAATATTTCTAAGTCTTGTAAGCCAAAGAGGTGTCTCATTACATATACATTGAAGTCAGGTTGTTCTTCCTAAATGAATTATGCAAATCTAGTATGTATTAGGCTAGTGAATAGGTAAAAATTGATTTAATTAATGTTTCTCTTAGTAGACTGTAGATTTACAATTGCTAAAAGAATCTAGTTTTATAGTTCTTTTGAATATTTCTTAGTGTTTGAAGTTTTGACATCAGTATAGTATTTTTGTAAGTGCAGTAGAACTGTATTTTTCTGTTGAATAGAATGGACTGAATCCATTTAGTCGACATTCCATCAATAGTCAAAACATGGACACATACACATATAAAATTTAATATAGAATAAGCTGTATCCACATAGGAAATATCATAACTTTAAATTACAAACAAAATTTGCATGTTATCCTGTTCTGTTGCTTAATCACAAAGTTTTGTGCCATGTAACAGTGTTGTAATAAAGTCAGCTTTAAGGTTCAGATATATCTGGGTTATGGAGATATTGAAGTTCTGTCAACATAATGATGGTACACATAGTGTGACAGTTCCTAGTTACTGTGTGAGGTGATGTGAAGGCGAATAAGTTGCTATCTTACAATATATACACGGTGAAGAAGTACTGTAGATCTTCGCTGAACAATATTTATTAATGAGATACATGAATTCTGCAGCTTGGATGAAAGGAATCTATAGCACACATTTTTGTGCAGCCCCTACATGATCAATAGTTTCAAACTCGAGGCACAAAATGGATCTAGAAATGCATTTTTAATTCATCTTGATGTACTATTCTTCTAAGTTTTCTTGTAACCATACTTTTATATTATAGTACAAGTCTGCAGCTGAAATATTAGTTGCTAATGAATTCAGTTATAGACTATTTTTGGATGTCGTATAATTGTAATTTAATTTAGGGAAATGTTAATGCCATTGTGGTTATTAGTGTTGGATCCAAGTGAAACATAGCTGTGTGGTAGTGATTATAGATAATATAGTGCAAAGGTGGAATACAATTATTATGTAGTAATCATATTGGTTACAAAAGCCAGTTGTTCTACATATATGTAACAATTGGGTATGGAAAAACTTTCTACTGTGAGGTTCCTCTCTGCCTACAATGGAAGTACTATAAAAATTTGCAATTGTAGACAGTTTTGAAGTCATTAAAACATATGTTTGAAATGCTGGTTGCCAGGTGTCTGGTTTAAACAGATCTGAATGTCTGTTTATAAAAATGAATGCTAAAATTTCATTTGGCATACCTCATGTTCTGTTAAAACATTAATCTAATCTACACACTGCAAGAAATTCACTTTAGTGTAAGTTATCAGATGAGGTTGATATACAGTGCTATCTAATTTAAAACACTGTGTGAATGTAAATACATGCCAGTGTATTTATAGCAATATTAAAATGGCTTCTCATTGTTTTGTCTATAAGAATATGAAAACGTGTTTGAACTAAGCAGCCAGAAGGATTAGCTCCAATTTGTTTGTAGTATTATAGTAGAAATATTTCTTCATCATGTGCATGCAGGGGTATCTATTGAAAGAATATAATATTGTGGTGTGATTGGTTCAAGGAGTATTTCTTCTTCTTTCTTGATTGCATCTTCTGAACAAGGCTGCCCATGGTATAACTTTCCAAGTTGCTCAAGGGAGTTTCATTGTTGTTGCAGAGAAATAGATATGTAATTATGCCTTGAATGACTACGGATGTTGTATATTCACTGTCCTTTAAGAATCTTGTATTAAACATGCTGTATTCAATGAGAACACTGATTTATGACTACTCTGAAAAGAGATGCTATATAGATGATATATATGAAAAACATTTGCTGGCAGAGTAACTAACACATGCACATGAAAGCTGATGAGGTAGGACCTAAGATGTAACCCTTTCTTGGCTATGAACGATATTGATTGTTCAGATAAACGAGTTACGTCTGCTCTGAAATACTTTGTTTAGTTACATTAGTAAAAGAAAATTCTGCTGCAGTCTCTTGACAATAGAAGCTCTATGTGGCTTTCATCAATGAAAATCATAAACCATCTTGAAATATACACACCAATGAACACATTTATTTTATAACATAAATTTGGCATGTGAGATGAACACTAACAATTTTGAGAATATGGAATTTATTGGGTAGAAAGACAGAAGTGAGTTTCGATTAACTGTCGATAAAAAGAATTCAGGTTATTTTCCATCGTTATATGTTTTTTTGGTTTTTCCTTGTTTTTTAAGAGCTCTCTTAAATCCTAATCTTCTATTTTCGTTTCCTCTCATGTTCACTCTTATGAAGATTTTGAAATATATATGAACAAGTTCTATATATATTTCCTTAACACTATTTTGAATGTCTGATTGCCTGTTTGTGAACTGGTATCTAACTCATTTTTTATTCTTTTGTCCTTATGAAGTGCATAATACATTGACATTATTTGTATGATCATTAGTTAAGAGACATGTAAAGAAGATTGTTAGCCAGAGTAGTGGTACACAGATCAGATATTTTATCCACTGTAAATCTTTACAGTGAAAATACTGTAGCATTTCTCTCCATATTGAAAAGTGTCACGTATGCATGAAATATTTGGTGGTTTTTACATTACTGTTTCTGTTGGCCCATGCTCTAGAAAATACTTTTCCACTTCTTAACCCAAAAGATCGAGATATCTACCTTATCATGGGAAGTAAAGATATAATTATTGTTAATTTTTACTTCAAATGTGTACATAATTGACAAAGCAGATGTCTGGCAACCTGTATTAAACTTGCATTTTTTATAATTCTGTTTTGAATGCTTGTGTGAGGGGATGCATTATGTCCTCATTATGGCTGTCTGTAGGTGTGATATGTGAAGTCTTTGAATTAATTTTTGTGACTAACAATTCATATGGCCTTCAGTGATTCTTCCTCATGATATGGTTTTAACCCCACTAGAACAAGTTGCCATAAAATTGTCACTTTGAATAATGGTGCTACTGTCATGCATTACATTTGGTGAAAGAGGGAAAATGAGTAAGCAGTTAACAAAACAAAAGCTTAATGTGTGAATGAAGTTGTAACTGAGACGAAAGGAAATTGAAACTATGTTTAAAGTTTTTGATGTTTCAAAGTTTTCATTAAATTGTTGATATTTCAAGTTAATTTTTTCAGATGGTAACTAATATGTTTTGTTAAACTAGTCACTCATTGTTGCACTTGTTAAACATTGTTATATCATAAAGAAAGATCTCTTGTGGCATATGTGGTACATATTTCATTAACTTCAGCCTTTATTAGAACAAACTGTCTGTTGGAAGCTGACTATTTGAAATATTATTATTTACATGCTGTACTATGTTGTGTTTTTCTGGTGATTCAGGTTAGATGTGATGAATGAATCTCAACAGCAGCATCCACTGTGCTTACATGGTCATTTCTGTGTAGTTTCTTTTAGTATTGTGGTGAAAGATTAGATAGAGAAACATGGTAAGCTGATGAATTTGCATCATGTGAAGCCTAGACAGCACTGATGCCAATATGGTTACCTTTGTTAGAGGTGATGTCCACAGTTAAGATACTTAATGAATAAAAATACCATGCTAGTTATCTGTTTTCTTCTGTTATTAAATTACTGAAAATCATGGTATGAAATTAGTACTCTTGCTTTATATTTGGGAGGTGCCAGGTTTAAATCTCAAATCAGAGACTCGGTTCCTCCAGGCAAATGCCAGGATAGTACCTCAAATTAGGTCACAGGTGCTTCCTACCACATCCTTTCTGATTCATTATTCACTAATCATTATATTATTTTATGCGGTAATTAGAATTATTGTAAGCATTCTTAATAAGCCATAAATAAATAAACAGTTCAGACAGTATAATGATGGGTCATAGGCTGGATAGCTGGGGTTCAATTCCTGACAAGGGCAAGAGATTTTTCTGTACACGACAGTGTTCAGACCAGCTCTTGGGCCGACCCAGCTTCCTATCCAATGAGAACAGGAGGCTCTTTCCCTAGGAGTGAAACTGACGGCTTATCTCCATCTGGTACTGAGATCAAGAATGGTGCAGCTATTCCTCCACTCCCCAATACTTTTACATGGGGTAGTGTTTAATTGCTTAATTAAGCACAGGGACAACTTTAGCTTTTACATTTACATATTATGAAATTTCATACAGAGCAATGGTTTCCCATTATTGAATATTTTGGAACGAGTTTGTAATACAGTTTTCAGTTTTTGCATCCTGTTGTGTGCGAGTAACTTAATCTAATAGTTAACCATCTACACAACAAATTCTGGGTCATATATCAGTAAATACCAAGGTTAAGATGGGAAGAATGTGTGTGGCAGGACATAAGAATTTTGGGTGTAAAGAACTGGAGGAAGGCAGCATCGAATGGAGAAGAATGGCAAGCAATCCTGAGGAAGGCAAGGGCTCACAAAGGGCTGTCCTGCCAGTGATGATGATGATGATGATGATATCAGTAAATACCAACTAATAAGTCTTTAATCCTTAAAACATGACATATTTTAATCATCATCATCAACAAATTTATGTTACCAATATGAGATAAATTAAAGAATTTAATACTCATTGGAAATTGGATGCAATTCCAATAACATGCATCATGCTAAGTGTAGAAAATAAATTCAAATGTATAATTATCTAAAATTCTTATAATTAAGAAATGTATTGGGGGAAGGAGGAAGTGGCTTCAGATATTATGTAATAATAAAAGGTAAAAGGATAAAGCTATCCCTGTAACAGGCCATGAAGGCCCATAGGGTTGTGATATGTCGAGGCTCCCACCTTTTTTTTTTTCTTGACAGTTGGCTCATAGGTAGCAGAAGACAAAAATAAACTAGCTATTATATGAAGAGCTCTTGGATCCTCCCCACCTCCTATCCAATGGGTACTCAGGGCTCTTTCGTCTGGGGCGGGGGGGGGGGGGTGGGCGGGGCATGAAGCTGACCACTCACNGGGATGGTCAGGGCATGAAGTTGACCACTCACCTCCCATCTAGTGCCAAGGTCAAGAATGATGGAACTATATCCCCACTTCCCCATATATCTTCACCGCTTGGTGCTTAATTGATTAGGCACAGAGGAAATTTACCTTTACTTTATCAAGTGAGATCTGTGGTCAACCAATTTCTACACTATAATAAATTCATGAATGTCTGCATATTTTTAGCAGAGAGCAGGATTTAGTACAGTAAAATCCCAATTATCTGGTAATGAAGCACCTGGAATTATCTTGCGGCCAGCAAACATTTTAGATTTTATAGACAGATGCTCCAAAAAAAGGCAGTTGCAACACACATACATTTACCTCTCCAGATTTACCTGCTGTTAATAGTACTGCCTATCCTCCATGCAAGTGCTACAATTTGGTGATCGTTGATTACTACAATAAGGAGGGATTTGTCAAATGTATGATCACATTACAGAACATCCAAAAACTTTCACCCCCTTAATCTGCTGTCATCTAGGAGACCTCCTATGCAAGTACTTGAGCAAAAACGACTTTGAAACAGAAAATGGAAATAGGCAAAAAACCATAAATTGTAAAAACTGAGTTTATATAAGTTTTTCTTATGTAACCAAAACATCCCATTGCTCATACATGCCAGATAATGGGGAGTTTACTGTATATTTGCAAGAATATTTGTTGGAAGTGTAAAAAGTTTGTACGTTTGCTTAATTTCCATTCCATACTTTGTTTATTTGCAGTTACCTGAAACTGCTGCAAGTCCAAGAGAGAGAGTTTGCACAGTTTTTTTTTCTGGCTGCAGAAAAGCACTGGTATGTAGTTTATTTGATGTGTTTGAACATAATATCAGAAAAGTCATAAGGTCTATCTTGTAGAATGTTATAGACTATTGTAATTTATGTAAAGTAGAAAAATGTTTATCAGTAATGTATCTCACTACTTGTAGGAAGAGACGAATGAGATAGGGATGTTCTTATTTGCATGCTCATGAAAACAAAAATTGTTGCAAAAGCTGTTAAGTACTTACTGATTATGAGCTTCTAGTGAATAAAAACCAACTGTATATTCTATCCAGGGTGTACTGAATGCAGCTGTTTGAGCTGATTTGGTTTTGATTTCAGTTAACTAGTTGCAAAGATGAATCTTACAAAACTGGACAATAATAAAGCAGGATCCAGTATTTGTGCCCATATTTCAAGAACTTTTGCTGCAGATATTTAAAATGCTGAACAAATTTGCTGCCATATGTTTAACTTGTTTGTGGTTCCCTAATGTAGTCTGTATTCATGTCTAAATCTGAATTATGAAAGCATTTTAAAAGCTTGGGAAAATGTAATTGAAGGTTTAATTTGTGCTCCAAATGGTTATATGGTATGTTAAAAAATCTCCAGATACATTAATTCCAGTAGTTTTAGTCAAATGTGCTACAAATAATACTTTCCCTTTTTGGGTTTCATCAAACTATTCAGTTGTATCTGTATCAGTAATTGATAATTCATTTATTTGGCAATATTTTCACCACTACGTATCATTCAGAAAACATGCACATTTTGTCAATCTGCACATAAAGGATATGCCAGTACAGTATTAGTACGGAGTATATAAAAGTCAAAATATCAACATTTCGCTCAGAAGTATACTTGTGAAGGAATAATTTTACTCATAGATTTTTCCTCTTATGAACTGTTCAAAAATGCAAAGTATAGTAAATAGCTAATATTCTTAGTCTGATTAAATTTAAAGGTTTGACACAATGAGATGTAATTCATGGAAACTAAATATTGGATAATATTGATAATATAATAATAATAATAATAATATGGATAATATTGAAATAAGTGTTAGAGAAAGAGGGCGTGAAGATTTCAACCGAATGAAGAGGCTTAGAGCAAGGTCCAGTGTCAGGCTTTTGTAAACATGATGTTTTTTGGTTCTCTAGAGGCAAGGAATTTCTTCACCAGGCAAATAACTATCATGAACTCCAGGAAGACCATACACCTTGAAGTTCATGAAACAAATAGCCGTTTTAAATTCACTATCAAATTCTGGGTATTAAAATGCTACCTATATTAGACCAGAATATTTTATAGTAGTATTTAATTTGATGTGAGTGGAATGGGGAGCCAACAGCCTGACTTGAATGGGATCAGTTTTCAGACAGTAGCAAATGAGAATGTGGTACCATATTCATATTCTTACCCAGACTTCCTATATATCCACTGCCAGCCACTTCTTGCACTTTACAAGTGAAGTTGGAGATATGTGTACCATAGCAGCAGGAACAGGGAGAGTTATAAATGTGAGATCAGCCCAGGAGTAGAAAAATTTAATCCAGAGGGCTTCTTGTCGTCTAGGAACTGCGGAGCTTAGAAACAAAACCTGGTGTCTGAACAGCTAGCTATTGAAATATGTCTATTCAGCACTAAATTTGCCTTAGTGATATTCCTTATTTAATTATCGCAACCCTATTTTCTAAATGTAACTAGCTTTCCCTGCTACTGCCCAGTTTTATATCCAAACACACAGTCCACTGTGTTCCAATCGTTTATAGTGTTACTTTTTCCATGCAAGTGTGTTTATAAGAGTGTGAGTTATGTTGCTTCTGTAAACGTACAATTATACAGCATAAAAGTCCTAAATTAGACATATGCTTAGAACCACTGTTAGCTGTACATTACAATGCTGTTGTCATAACAGTTGTCTATTCTTAAAGTTAGATAGACCATACACAAGTAGTTTATTGAATTAGGGCATTTATTTACAATTGTACAGAGGAGTCTATCAGGTGACATATTTAACCATATACATTATTCAATTCTGAGATTATTTTTAAGGTACTGCATCACCTGATGAACAGCATCACGACCACAAGTGCCTTCTAACCATGCCATTGCAATACAAATCTCAGAACCTACTTTGTTTACAGAAACCACTGCCTTTAAAAGGCAAAGATTTGTACTTGTTTCATTCTCATCATCCATATTCTGCAGACTTTCTGGTGATGTTATGTCACATTCATTTTTAGTAACATAATCTTGTACAAATTCAGTGTTTCTTTCACCATCCGTATTCTCCTCAAAGCTATCACTACTGCTGGCTTTTATTTTAAGGTTCTGTGACACTTTCATACTTGCAGATTGTACAGAGCGTGAATATAATTCTGACTGATTTATTAATTTGGAAATGCCTGAATTAGGTAATCCTGATTTACAAGTCTGGTCAGCACAGTACAGCAAATCATCTGCCTCCTCATGTAGACTTCCTTCATCTCCACTCTTTAGTCTTTTGTTGTTATTTCCATGCTCTGAGCTTTCATCAGCTTTATGTTTCACTGACTTCATGTCACTCTGTGACTGCAACGGAACTGCAGTTGTAGATGAATCCAGAATTATAAACCCACTGGCATTTAAGCTGCTTCCTGCATCAACTGAGATACTACACTCTTCTCTCTTGAGGGAAGCAGATGTTTCATGTGAATCATTTCTTTCCAAAATGCTGAGTCTCATGGTTTTTCTTTTCTCGTCGTTTTCGACGTTGATGAGACCATGTGTTTCTTTGTGCCATAACTTCAAATACTGCTGACTCTTTCTTCCATTTCATCTTCTTGTATTCAATCTGCAAGGAATTATTTTTACTTATTTAATGACACATTCTCACCTGCATAGTTTATATAAGGAAGTTACATCAACTAAGATGTCATAGACTCTTAATGGTTTCAGTGGTACATACTACACTACACAATTTGTATTAGCTGACACTTATATCAAATGTCATATTCATATTATTATTATTATTATTAATTTTTAAAACTGTATATTGGCATGCTCTACTTAATGCCATCATAATATTGATTACTGTACTTCACTGCATAATTCATATTCTTTAAAGAAAATAATTTGCAAATAGATGCTTGGCTGCACACCTTATGAAAATGGTCATGCAAAATACAGTATTACTTTATACTTGACCACTTTGCATCCATGAAAGTAGAACATGTTATACAAAAATGTGGTATGTCCTATATAGGATTAATGGGAGGGGGGAGTAAAAAGTAAAACTTAAGCAAAATGTAAAGTTGTCCCTGTGCTTAATTAAGTACCACAACATGATATGTTGGGGAGTAGAAACATTTTTTATGAGTATCCTTTGCATCAAGTCCTTTTGCCCATGAAAAATGCACAACAGAATGCTGCTCTTTGTTAATACACTCTTCAAGGATGGCCACCATTTTGACCACTGAACCCAGCTTCTTAATATGCACATGGGTGTTTGCTACCTAGTGATATCCACAGAAAAACTACTACGTCCATTACAGCTCTTTTACTTCCACCTGTGACCTATTTACTGACTCTCCTTCGTATGTTCTCTCTCAACAAATTCACATTATCTGCAGAGACCAGCAGCTAATGTATCTATCCCATTTAATTTGAGTTCACCTGGTTTTCCTGGACTTTCCTAATGGCATATTCTAAAGCAAANGTAAACAACTGTATACTGTCTCATTGTACTCCCAGTTTTTCTCCAGTATCTGATAAATTCAAAAATTCTGATCAGTAGTTGATCTGTTAGGTCGAAACCCACAATGATGAACCTCAATAATTTCATCTATATATGGACAAGAAAAGAGGGTATATAAACCATGTAATGAAATACAAGCGCTTGAAAACTACCAGTGTAACATAAATGAAATGTCCTTACCTGTAGCTGTGTGAAAAGTGCCTCTAATTTGCTGGTTACTGCACTGACATTATAGTAAAGAGGATTAATAGGCATAGGAACAACATATTTTACTGGTGCTGGATTCTTCTTCTTCTTGCTCTTTGGTATCATTTCAAGGTTTATTTCAGGAAGAAAAGTCCATGCAAGTCCCCATCGGGTTGTGTGACCTTGAGAAAACTCAGTGTGGGTACTGCTTGCTACTCCAGCTTTCTCCAGTTCAGATTTCAAGACATTAAAATTGGATTTGAGTCCTACCATAGTACTGTAAATCCTGCATAAATAAAATAATGGTTAGAGATATAAAGTATAAGAGGTACAGTTTAAAATTTTGTGCACTGCATGTCTCTGGGCTGTGGGACAAGGTTGGTAGCCATGAATTACATTTCTTGTTTGTGCATTCATTGAAGAGGATTTATAAATCAAAATATAACTTTTAATTTTGTAGTTGACATTTTTTTAATTCACTTAGTGGGTGTGGAGTCCAACTGGGTTCACTCGGCATGGCGGCCACAGATTGGCCTACTGTACCTGTCCCGGGTGATTATAATGGAGAATTTGGTGGAATGAAGATTGGCAGGGGAAACGGAAGTACTGGGAGAGAAACCCACCCCAGTGCCACTTTGTCCACCAGAAATACCACTTGACCAGACCTGGGATCAAACCCGGGCTGCTGAAGTGGGAAGCCAGTGCCCAACTGCTTGAGCTATGGCGTGGCCATTTGTAGTCAACTTAGAAAAAACGGTACAGAATCTTATGAAAAGTTAGTAAACAATGGCAAAAAAATGAGTGATTAGTTACTAGAAGAATGTAGCTAACACCCAAACCAATTTCATTATCAGATTTACTCAGGTACAAATTATCCACAAGTATAAACTGTTCTGCACTGATTGGCAGAACCGCCTATTCCAACTGCAAATTCACCTTAAAATATGTGAATTGTACCTATTACAGTCATCAGAGGTTAGTTTGTCCACAATGCATAAAAGTGAGAGGACAGGTGTTGTCCAGTGGAGTTGTATATTATTTTCCCTTCTATCTGATCAAATACTGACCATATTAAACCATGTTTCAAATAGAAATTGTAGATCTTAATCTGATCAATACTATATCTCTCAATTTCAGTTTGTGCTTCATGTAGAGGATTCATATTCAATCAATATGGATTAAAATTAAGTTCATTTTGCAAAATTTAGTAGGTTTCTCAGTACCAAAGTGCATTAAAATTTGTTCATTAGTTTTGGAGATGAAACCTGCAGATACACAGACAGTATGCAAAGAAAAAAAAAAGTACATAGAAACTTACTTCACTTTGAGATACTGGGTTTCCTGACTTTATCCATCGTCCTGGTTTTAAGATAACTAAGAAAAACATGACGTTTTGGAAACTGGATCTGTTTCAATCCTCAGGTGAGGGAAAACACCTATTCTGTTGGGTCCCTCATTCACTGGACCTGGTCCAGTGATTGAAAACCCAATATCTCTGTGTGTTATACACCATCGTCAGAATCCTATAGTAACTACTTACTTCACTTTATATCTCAGTTCTGCACTTTCTTGTATCATCTGTAGGATGAATGCCACCTCTCCTCCCTTCACTACTATATCACTCAAAGATCCAGTCCTCCCATTACGAGGAAGTGTTCGTGAACTAGATCGAGATTTGCTGCTGGAATCTGCTTCTCTTTCACAACTGAAGAATGGTGGGTTACACATTGTGAAGTCATACGCATCATCCATATCCAAGGCACCCTTAAGAATTGTACCAGCTTCAACTTGCTTTACTGTAATGTTTGTATAAACAACAAATTTGCTTGTAGAATTGATGCACAGCAACTCTTAATTTTACAAAAAGGTTATGTTCCTTACAGGCTATCCGTTACGAAATTGTGTTAAAAAGACTTGGAGGCAATAAGTATGACTTTCTGCCTAAGTTACGAAGGAATTACACTTCTCAGTTACTATTATAAAATCTATAAAGGAGCAACATGCATTTCGTTGTAGAGTCAATGACTCAAATCAATCAGTGGCAGTGCCAACCTCCGTTCCGTTTTCATGAAGGAGGCTTTCAACTTGTACAGTTAAGCTGAGAGTAATCAACAGCAACAAAAGCAGGAGAGGAACACTGTAGGTCTAGATCACATTTGGTTATATTCTTACAGTTCACTTGAGGAAATGCGGTGTCACTAAACTATGTATCAGTTTAGGTTTGTCTTTGTTGTCAGATCTGAGGTTCTCATGATGGTGAATATGAAGAACACTGTCCTATGGAATGTGACGGCCCACATAATCTTCTAAAAGTTCAGTGACCTTTTAAAGGAGTATACTACTGTCATACCCAGAGTAAAAAAAAGTAAGAGACTCCCCTACCATGAAGATGAAGACAGCATGTTCCTGCGAAATGTCAGAAAACATCTACCAGACTACACAGCACCACATCCCAGAAAGTAGTAGTATTTTTAAGTTGTTACATTCCCTATAACTCTATGAAGTTTTTTCACTACAAACTCATACCTACAGGCCACATTTTAGAGTTGCTCCCTGGACTGCATGTGAGAAGTATCATGGCAAGGTTACAGCTGAACTGAAGGAGGGAGGGTGGGTGACATACTGCTCTGAAAGCCCATGACTAACCCATACACACCCTACAGTCCTTATCTCAGTGGACTGGCCCAAATACACTTCGAATTCTGCTGAGAACATCCAGGTATAAGTACACAATTACTTACTCATGGAGTTGAGCCCTTCTGGAGGAGCTGCCAATTCTGCAGCTCCTCAAGAATTTCCCAGCATTTTATGGAACGCAAAGGTTCATTACCATGTTCACAAGAGCACTCCACTGATCTGTATCCTGAGCCAGATCTATCCAATCCATCCTATCTCTCTAAGATCCATTCTAATATTGTCCACCCACCTACACCTTGGTCTTCCCTGTGGTCTCTTTCTTTCTGGCTTTCCCACCAATATCCTATATGCATTCCTCATCTCCCCCATTTGTGCTACATGACTTGATCATTCTAATTATACTTGGAGAAGAGTATAAGTTATGAAGCTCTTCATTATGCAGTTTTCTCCAACCTCCTGTCACTTCATCTCTCTTTGGTCCAAATATTCTCCTCAACACCCTGTTCTCAAACACCCTCAGTCTATGTTCCTCCCTTAATGTCAGAGCCCAAGTTTCACACCCATACAAAATCACAGGCAAAATTATAGTTTTGTATATTCTAATTTTTATGTTTTTGGACAACAGACAAGAAGACAAAAGGTTCTGGACTGAATGGTAGCAAGCATTACCCAAGTTCAATCGATAAGTACACAATACCTGTTATAAAGTCTTCATAATCATTGCACGCTACATTTCTCCTTGCACATTCAACACTCTCATGATCTATCTCTGTTGCCAGCATTTTCCATTTCTTCATTGTGGTGGCCAGAAGTGGGTAAATACAGGAGGCACCACAACCTGTTACAAGTATAAAAATGTATTTCTAAAACTACCAGTATCCATCTGTGAATTATGCTGTATTATCCCAACAAAGCATTTACTGATCTGTAGTCCATTATTTTCACATGCTCTCCGCTTTACAACATGCAATATGAATAACAATATGCAGTACTGTATCTTCGATGACCACCTCCTCAAAGTTCATCACAGCATGAACAAAGGTTCATTGGTGGATATGCCGAATGACCAAAATCTAATCCTTGCCACTACACGAAGTTTCTGTCATGTTAATTTTGATGTTTCATCTTGGGTTTCCGTATGTACTATGTCTACACATCCTCATCAAAACTTAGTATGTGTTGCTCCATATATATTCAGTCCATTTCCATTCAATGGTTTAATGACTCTTAACAATACTATGCAGAAAGTACAAATCATCAAATTAATTACTACTTTTATTTCCTGTCGGTGTTGGTTCCACAGCATCCAGACCAGCTCTGCAACCCACTCGTCCTCCCATACAATGGGTACCATAGGCTTTTTTAGCAGGGTTAAAGCAGTTGAGATGTGAAGTTGACCACTCACAGAACTCTAGTGCTGAGGTCAAGAATGGTGGAGCTATACCTCCACTCCCCCATATGTCTTCATGGCATAATACTTATTCAATTAAGAACGGAGACAACTTTTATCAGTGTTGGTACAAACTCTATTTCCATAAACTTTTAGTTTTTGTTCATCATCCAAAGCATGTAATTATTTTAATACACAATGAGTTACAATTTTACACACTTTTATTCTTTGTGGGCTGCCAAAAATCAGATTAGGTCTGTCAAACGCAAGGTCCCTTTTCATATGCTAGAAGCGGCTGCACTGTTCAGCACTTACACTGAACCATACAAATGAATTAGCATGTTTGCAGAAAATTAAGGGTATTTTCATAACATCCAGGAATATAATTTCAGGAACAAGAAATGAACACATTACTTCAGTGCCTTAGAGTTCCTGGCCTGCACTTGTTTTTATTGAAGTTAAAAGCATTACATTAAATGTTTACCAATATGAGAGGTGAGCCCCATATAAAGTGAAAATAACCACTAAAAAGTAAGTAAAGCTATCCCTGTACCAGGCCGTGAAGGCCCGTAGAGTTGTGAGACGTTGAGGGTCCCACATTGTCTAGACAATTGGCTCAAAGATGGTGGTAAGGTTGTCAGCCTTAAACACCGACTGCACTTTACTCCCCAGGAAAATTATTTAATTAATTCCTGACATTCATTTCTGTTAGAGGCTGTGCTGATCCCAGTGCAGCTGGAAGGATTAGGTCAACTGAAAAAATCCAATGACCTCATTGGGTCTT